TGGAGGGTCGATCCCAGATGGTGAAGCTGGGAGACGCCTGCTCGGACCCCTGGCCGTTGACCTGTGGGGTCCTGCAAGGCTCCATTCTGTCTCCCATGATTTTTAACATCTACATGAAACTGCTGGGAGAGGTCATCCGGAGTTTTGGAGCTAGATGCCACCTCTACGCAGATGACACACAACTCTACTACTCCTTTCCACCTAATTCCAAGGAGGCCTCTCGGGTGCTGGACGAGTGCCTGGCCGCTGTATCTATCTGGATGAGGAGGAACAAGCTGAAGATCAATCCTGACAAGACAAAGGTCCTTCTGGTCGATCGTAAACCTGACCGGGGTATAGGGTGGCAACCTGTGTTGGACGGGGTTACACTCCCCCTGAAGCTACAGGTCCGCAGTTTGGGAGTCCTTCTGGATCCATCGCTTACGCTTGAGGCTCAGGCATCGGCGGTGTCTGGGAGGGCTTTCGCACAACTGAGACTCGTGCACCAACTGCGACCGTACCTCCTGAAGGCGGATCTGGCCGGAGTGGTCCATGCCTTGGTCACCTCTAGATTGGACTACTGCAATGCGCTCTACTTGGGGCTGCCCTTGCAAACGGCTCGGAAGCTCCAACTTGTCCAACGATCAGCAGCCAGGATGTTAACCGGGGCTCATTACAGAGAGAGGTCAACCCTCCTGTTCAAGGAGCTCCACTGGCTGCCGTTTATATTCCGAGCCCAATTTAAGGTGCAGGTGCTTACCTACAAAGCCCTGAACGGTTTGGGACCAGCCTACCTGCGTGACCGCATTTCCATCTACGAACCCACAAGTTCACTTCGGTCATCTGGAGAGGCCCTGCTTGTGATCCCACCTACGTCGCAACAGGGCCTTTTCCGTGGTGGCCCCCCGTCTCTGGAACACCCTCCCCAAAGACCTTAGACAGGCCCCTACATTGGAAGTTTTCAGAAAGAACCTGAAGACCTGGCTTTTCTGATGCGCCTTCCCAGAGTAGGAAATCTCCACTACCAAGTCCCATAAGCACTTTACCAGAACCAATGATGCTGCACATCGCACATCGCACTTGCCCTAGAAGCCTCATATACATCTCCTGTCACATCAGCACTTTTAATTCTTGTACCCATTACTCTGGCCCGGCCCAGTTTTATTGTGTTTTTAGTGTACTGCTTTTTGCCTGTTGTTAATTTGCTTATTTTGTTTTAATTGTTTGATTTGCTTAGATTGTATTGTTATGTTGTTGTTGAGGCCTCGGCCTATGTAAGCCGCATCGAATCCTTAGGGAGATGCTAGCGGGGTACAAATAAAGTTTAATAATAATAATAATAATAATAATAATAATAATAATAATAAAAGCTCAGTCTGTGATTGTGTTTGAGGATCAGGGTGCTTTGGATGTGGGGAGTGACAATGAGGTTCATGAAGGTAATGGAGTTTCCAATGATATTGATGCAGAGTATGACCAGGAGATCTCTTTTTTCGATAGAGTTACAAGCTGGATAGATGNCACACAAAAATTCGTGAGGTTCCCAAAAAATGGATTACGTTCCCCACCGAAAGTTGTGATATGAAACGAGTCAATGTGTACCCCGACTGCACAACACTAGTGGGCAGCCCTTTTTGGGGTCCCTTCCCTCTTGTGCATGTGCCTCCTTGAATGTGGGTGCCCAGAACTGGACACATGATTCCCAGTGAGAAGGTCTGGCCAAAGCAGAAGGGGGGACCAGGACTTCTTCCCTGGAACGAGGCCCCAGGCTCACGTTCCGCTGGGGTCTCATTATTATTACGACTACTTGACTCCTACGGATGTAAACCTAGAACCTCCTTGGCCTTTGGAGCCACATCACACCCTGCCTCGAGCCAAGAGGAAAGGATGGTGGGCAACGACTAACGAGTGCAGTGATCGCCATTCCCTTTTCCTGCCTGCGCATGTCCGTCAAGGCGCTCTGGAGGGAGCGGCACAGCCATGGGTTCGGTGAGAGCAAACACCCACCTTTGCGGCAAGCTTCATGGCATTGTTGACTGCAAACACACTGATGCCAAGCGACAGTTACCATCCAGGGAGGAGGAGGAGGAGGACTAGGAAAGCGAGCATGGCTGTCAAGAGCATCAGACAGGATTGTATAATTGTGCACAATGGGGAGAAAGTCCAGGGAAACGCGCCTTCTTTCCTCCTTGCCGTCTGTCCGTATGCGCCCTCGAGTCTCCTGGTGACGCAGGCCGGCCTCGTTGGTTTTTAGCTTCCAGGACCAGGTTGGGGCTTTCCAGAAGAGGATTTTGGCCCCATCGGGCTCTACACAAAAGGGTCAATCTGGCACCGTTTGCCATTTGCCACACTGGGACTGTGGCGCATCTGGCTGAGTGTCAGCTGCATTAAGATCACTCTGACCAAAAGGTCATGAGTTCGAAGCCAGCCCGGGTTGGAGTGGGTTTCCAACCAATTGTGTGTAGCCTGTTGTCGACCTTTGCAACCCGAAAGACAGTTGCATCTGTCAAGTAGGAAAATAAGGTACCACCTTAAAGTGTGGGGAGGCTAAATTAACTAATTTATGAGGCCATAAAAAAAGACTCCGGCAGACCACTCCAGCGGAAGCATGCTGATGGACGATGAAAGCAGCAGCTCCCCTGGCGGCCAGAAAAAAGTTAAATAGCTTCTGTGTATTGTCTGTATTCGTTGTCTGTCAAACTGGCATTGAATGTTTGCCATATATGTGTATACTGTAATCCGCCCTGAGTCCCCTGCGGGGTGAGAAGGGCGGAATATAAAAACTGTAAATAAATAAATAAATAAATAAAATTTTCCAAATATATTGCCAACAAATGTTAAGGCAGCCCTCCATGTCAGCAGCTGTGAAATGATGGATGGATGCTTTAAACCACCGGCACAGGCCAACTTGGCCCCCCCCCCCCCGGTGTTTAGCACTTCAACTCCCACCATTCCTAACCATCTACCAGCTGTTGGGGATTGTGGGAGTTGGAGTCCAAACCACTTGGAGGGAAGTCCAAAGTTTGCCCAGGCCTGGTTGAAACCTCTGGTACCATTGCAACACCTGGCTTCCAGATAACTGAAACACTTGCTGCCCGGTTGCATTGATCTGGCCTGCTTTTGAAGGAGGGCTGTGCAAGGATTTAGCGTCCGAGAGAATGAATGCCTGTGGCTTGGAGAATATGCCTGCGTGCCCTCTTATACGTCTGTGAATTCCGGGATTGTGGCGCAGATGGCCGAGTGTCAGCTGCATTAAGATCACTCTGACCAAAAGGTCATGAGTTCGAAGCCAGCCTGGGTCAGACTGAGCTTCCAACCAATTGTGTAGCCTGTTGTCGACCTTTGCAACCCAAAAGACCGTTGCATCTGTCAAGTAGGAAAATTAGGTACCACCTTAAAGTGTGGGGAGGCTAAATTAACTGATTTATGAGGCCATAAAGAAGACTCCAGCAAAGCATTCCAGCGGGGAAGCATGCAGGGAATGCGGAAGTGCTTCATCAGCGTCGCAGATGGACGATGAAAGCGACAGCTCCCCTGGCGGCCAGAAAAAGTTAAATAGCCTCTGTGTATGTCTGTATATGTTGTATGTCAAAATTGGCATTGAATGTTTGCCATATATGTGTACACTGTAATCCGCCCTGAGTCCCCTGCAGGGTGAGAAGGGCCGAATAGAAAAGCTGTAAATAAATAAATATAAATAAATAATAATAAATTCTCCTTCTCCCCCAAGATATGAAATGACCAAATACTCCATTAGAGTTATTGGGACACTCTCGGCAACTTCAGTGGCCTTCTGTGACTCCCAGGAATCCTTCTGCGTCTCAACCAAGAGCTGAAAGCGGGATCAGGACCCTCACCCTCACCCTTCCTTCGTTTTGGGGGCCTGAGGAGGGAAAGGGCGGCCAGACCCCCCCCCCCCAACCACACAGAGCAAGCAGATACTTAAATGTGTTTATTTATACATTAAAAGGAGGGTGAAAAGACCAAATAAATTTAAAAACAGTCTATAATACGAGTACGCAGAGGCCAAGAGGACGAAGAGGTCAAAGGGCACACGTGGGGGGGGGGCAGAGGGGGGGCTCATCAGCTTTCCTGGCTCTTCATATGCTTTGCGTACGATTCGTGGAGGCGTTTCTTGTAAGCTGCAGGGAAAGGAAGGAAGGAAGAAAGAGGGGCAATAAGGGGCCTCCTCCCTCCGCCGGTGTCCCAAATGCCCCCACCCCCAAATGGAAACCTAAGAGATCCCCTCTCTCTATTTCCCCAAGTTTGGCCCAACTGCAGCCCCGTAATTCTCGGTCAGGCAAAGTGCCTGGAGCAGGACTCGGAGCTGTTGTCATTGTTGTGGGTACTTGTTATTATAATCCCGGAACTTCCTGACAGAGAGAGAGAGAGAGAGAGAGCTGTTCAGCAGTGGAACTCCCTGCCCCTTGTGGAATGTGATGGAGAGAGGCTCCTTCTTGGGAGGCTTTGAAGCAGAGGCTGGATGGCCTCTGTCGGGGGTTCTGAAGGTGATTTCCCTGCTTCTCGGCGGCAGAAGGGGGCTGGGCTGGGCGATGGCCCACCAGGTCTCCCCCAAGGCTAAGAGGGTGCCCCAAAGAGGGTCACCACGCAGAGGGAAAATTAACCAGATCACCTTAGAGGTCACGCCATTTGCAAATGCATTTCCTCTTTCTCCCATTTATATACATTTTAATATACAAATATATTAAATCTATATAAATAAAAATGTAATGTTCGTTTGTGGGATTAACAGAACTCAAAAACCACTGGACGAATTGACACCAAATTTGGACACAAGACACCTAACAACCCAATGTATGTCCTTCAAAAAAAAAAAAATGATTTTGTCATTTGGGAGTTGTAGTTGCTGGGATTTATAGTTCACCTACAATCAAAGAGCATTCTGAACCCCACCAAGGATAGAATGAGGCCAAACTTGGCACATAGTTCTCCCATGACCAACGGAAAACACTGAAAGGGTTTGGAGGGGAGTGTCCTTTGGTTTTGGAGTTGTAGTTCACCTACATCCAGAGATCACTGTGGACTCAAACAATGATGGATCTGGACCAAACTCTACATGAATACTCAATATGCCCAAATGTGAACACTGGTGGAGTTTGGGGAAAATAGAATCTTGACATTTGGGAGTTGTAGTTGCTGGGATTTATAGTTCACCTACAATCAAAGAGCATTCTGAACCCCACGAATGAACCAAACTTGGCACACAGTTCTCCCATGACCAACAGGAAATACTGGAAGGGTTTGGTGGGCAGTGTCCTTTGGTTTTGGAGTTGTAGTTCACCTACATCCAGAGAGCACTGTGGACTCAAACAATTATGGATCTGGACCAAACTCTACATGAATACTCAATATGCCCAAATGTGAACACTGGTGGAGTTTGGGGAAAATAGAATCTTGACATTTGGGAGTTGTAGTTGCTGGGATTTATAGTTCACCTACAATCAAAGAGCATTCTGAACCCCACCAATGATGGAATGGGACCAAACGTGTCACACACAACCCCCATGTGGGCCACAGCAAAGCGTGGCAGGGGTCAGCTAGTAATCTATAAAAGTATTGAAATACTTTTGGGAACGAGATGCTAAGTTTTGCAATTAATGTTTTGTCAATAAAGGGTCGTTTGTAAATAAAGCCCCCCCCCCTTTCCCTTCTGCAAGGCCACCCTCGGGACACTCTACCCCTCTCGTCTCTCGTCTCAGGTGCCAAACAGCTCCCAACATTCAAAAAACCCAGTTGAATACACTAACATTGGAATAGAATCAAAGGCAGGAAGTGAGAAGCCCATGAAAGCACCACAAAACCCTAAAATACAACTCAAATGTCCCCCAGCGTGCCCCTTATGGACCCTCCCCCTTTAAGGGGCCAAGAAGAACAACAACTGCCTCCCGAGGCTGCAGGGGCCCTTCTGCCCCCCGGACAGGTTGGGGGTCCCATTCAACAACCACGAGCTGGCCTTCGTGGTTAACTTCCGCTCATTCACAAAAGGATTCAACCCGATTTGGGTCCCCCAATCGCCTGCCCCATCCTCCCAAAATATGTTTGGGTGCTGGGGGCAGTGGGGGGGGGGAATGAATGAAGCCCCCAGGCCATGCTCTCCAGTCCCCAAACGGAGCCGAGAAGAGGAACCCAGGCCGTCAAAGTGGATTCAACCAAGACTTACTTTCCATGGACTGCGCTACCTGGAATCTTTGGCCACCCCAGGATTTGAAGGCCCCCCCCCCCGGCCCTTCAGGCGGCAAAAAGGGCCCCATGCCCCACCGCAAGGGCCATTTGTCCCTCTGGCTTGGAGCCTCCCCTGTCTCCCCAGCCGTGCACGCCCAGAGAGCACTGATGCAATGGCCGGGAGATCCCCCCTGGCAGGAGAGTGCGCTTTGCACGTGCTCCAGGGCGTCGGACGCCTCCCCGAGCAAGGACTCACCTGGCTGGTTCTTCCAGAGCTCTGCGGCCTCTGTGTTGAGGGGGCTCTCCGTGTTTGGCTCTGAGCGCACCAACGAAGGAAGGA